CACATTGAGCTATCTGCTGTGTCAACCCGCGTGATTCGAAACTCGGATTTTTACTTTGAAAGTCTTACACTTACTGCTGTCCCATCAGGGAGCGTTAAGACAAATATGTGTAAGTGATATTGTATGTATGTATTCAACATTGGGTTGAGTGTATACATAAATGCTGTATATATAAATAAATAAATATATATATATATATATATATATACATATATAATAATTTAATGGATTTATTTCCGTTCCTGGTTAGTCATCTATAGTCATAACGGATATATATAACAAACATCACACACATAAGTAAACAAACCACACCTTACATATACGCAAGAAATGTTACTTTTTATAAATATTGAATACAGGAAGCTTTTCTCACAATACTGAAGAAAACTAACGATAAAAAAAATGCGTCAAGAAGAGGGCATCCCTATGAATTTTTCACCAACTGCGATTTAACACAGAATTGAAGTCACGAGATAAACCTCTAAAGTTGTCTCGATATTGTACCAAACTAATGCCTCGTCCAATATCCCAGGGGCAGCTCCAGAAATAATCATTAGAGAGTCATTTGCTTTAAACATCACGAGCAACCTAATTTTTGCTTTTGTATTTTTTGCGATGTCATTTATTTAGCTATTTTCCCCAGGCCTACAGAACCACTTTTTGGAATAAAATGACGGCAACAGAAACAAAATACAGCATTCACTTTAATGCTGTACTTCAGGTCCACAATGTTGAACTAGTTTTAAACAAAATAATTCGCCTTAGGACTATTGATGCAAAACGGTGTAGAATCAGATGTCGGTTAAAATCTTTGACCTGTTCTTTTCCTATATATATATATATAAAGAAAAACCAGTGTTTAACAGTTTTTTGCTGGCCATTGTAATTGTTAAGTAAAGTTTTACTTTCCTTAATGCAGAAAAGGAGTGTTCACCACTTACAATTGTACTTGAAAATGTTAATATTAGCCTAAATTACTTAGGCTAATATTGACATTTTCAAATTATTTCCAGGGATTTGGAAAGCTGAATGCGCTCATGAAATTCACAATGTTTCTAAGTAAGATGACACTGACTGTCTGCACATCTATAAGTAGCAGTGTTACCTCTGTGTTTGAAATATTTATCTATGGAAAGATCACTGCCACCGTATATTTCAACGAGAACAAAAATTTCTGGACCACCCAGGAAATTACTTGAAGCAGGGTTTGATGCTTGCATACTTCGAAGTAAACCATTAGTTTCACCAGTGAAACGTTCTTTAATTCATGTGTGAAACGACGAATTAAGGCCAAATACATCTCAATCACTAAATGACTCTTTGAGTATCTGCTTAGTTCATTCTGTCTATACAAAGAAACCCTGATGTCTCCCTCTTCTTGCGTTTTCTTTGGTTACGAGGAACTTCCAAAAAACTTTGCAATTTCTGATATATTTTATTATTATATGCTTGTTTTACATTATTTGCCAGCTTCATGACATTGGCAAGAACCAGTGCAGGATGCTGCAATATATCACCGAGTGTTTTACTGATACGCTGGAGAGATTAAATTGCAAACAATTTAGCAATAAAGTTAACTGTCAACATTTGCAATAGAAATCCATTAGTTTCAGTGCAATTTTTACTGTCCACTTTTGCAAGTTCTCTAACTCTTAAAATTTGTATCTGTTGCAATACCACAGATGTTTTATGTGCTGAAGGCTGGCTGACAAACATATATATATATATATAAGCGCTCATACAAATTAAATATATCTATCTATCTCTCCACTTTGACATCCTTCACTCCATCATCTACAGCACGGTTAAAAATATGTGCCTGGAAATGACTGTAAACTGCAATAGAATGAGCCTGGCCTATAATCCAGTACATCTGCCTCACATTACAGAAGCCCGTTCTTAACACTGTGCGACAATATTTGCTTTGTCCTGCCCAAAACTGTGGATCATATCGTTAATAATCTTGCACAAAGACTTTGTAGTGAGATCTTTGACTTACTCATAGGATAGAAACATTTCTTTGACATTTGGTTTTGTCCGGCATAGCCTGGTGGTTAGGGCGCTCGACCCACGATCTGCGGGTTCGAATCCCCGTTACACCAAACATGTCCGCTCTTTCAGCCGAGTTGGGGAGGCCTTTATAATGTGAAGGTCAGTCTCACTATTTATTAGTAAAAGAGTAGCCCAAGAGTTGGCGGTGGGTGATGATGACTAGCTGCCTTCCCTCTAATCTTACACTGCTAAATAAGGGACGGCTAGCGCAGATAGCTCTCGTGTAGCTTTGCGCGAAATTAATAATAAACAAACATTTGGTATTTCATCTACAAAGAGTAAACATACAGAAAACTCTTCTCTTTTTTTACCCCATTCTCTAGCTTCATCAGCCATAACAGCTAACAACTCAACTCTCCTAGCATTTTCTTCAATCAGTACAGACGATCTAGCTTCAATAAGATTATTCTATATTTATTTGCTGGCATATTTTGCATTTCCACTCCCTAGTTTTAAAACTAAACAAGAATAATACTTGGTTAAAAGTTTAATCAGTTTCGAAAAAATTCTTTATTTGAAGAGTCGCGCACCTATTCCTTCCCTTTGAGTAGTTCAACAAATATATATTTATATATAATATATATATTATATATAAATATATATAAATATATAATGCTGTTATATAATATATAACAGCATTCAGTATTTTAGAAAAGGGCTTCCTATGTTCTGTTACAGACCGCTGATGTGCAGTAGACAGATTTGTTGCAACTGACTCTTGTTTTGAATTACGTTGAAAGTTCCCCAAGAAGCAATTTCACGAACTTCTTCATTTCCACGAGTTTTAAATATAGACTCAGCATCTTACCAACTTCTGAATTCATTAGCTATAAAGCATGGCTCTATATAACCTCTTTTTGGACGAAAATTGACGGCAACAGAAACAAAACGCAACATCCACTTTAATGATGTACTCCACCCATACCGGGTCTAAGTGTATTTACCATTATAATATTAATTTGTATCGTCTCAGTAGATGGGCAGACATAGAAATAAGAGAGCAATTCTGACAGCCACTTTTCTTTGCTGGAAATGTGGATAGAGTAAGTTGCTTTGGCTCTTCCATTTTCGTTCCCTATATCTTCTGGAAAACCATTTCTGACTAGGCTACGTCCTAAGAGGTTCTGCACGTCTTCTTCACCTACGACTATTAACGATTCATTACTACTGCCTAGCTTTTCTAAAGTTACAATAATTCCCTTAATACTGCTCTCATATTCTCCATTTCGTTACTAGGGGTGACGTAATAACATATACAATTGTTGCAAATTATTGGAGAGGTAAAAGAAAAAGACTCGTCTCTCTTGCTAAACTATAATTATAGCCAACAATAATGCTATATGCAGTGACAACGCAGATTAAGTGTAAACAAATGATTATACGGTCGTCTCTTATTATGTGCCAACTTCCCACACAATCTCCGCAATGGACTTAAAAACATTGGAAGTTCTTTAAGTCCCCTCCACAACCTTATGGTAGAACCTCCCTTACTGTCCTGCATCTAGCATTTCACTCACGCTGTGTCTCGTCTTATCCCGTATCTAGCAATGTAAACTTACATTTCAGCCAATACGATATTATTAAATCTGACATGCAAGTTTACATTAAGGGTTGTGGTTTACCTTATCATTGATACAATGTTCTTAAATCTGGCATGCAAGTGTTACACGAAGGGGGTTTTGGTTTATATTATAGTTGATACAAACTTGTTAAATCTGGCATGCAAATGTTATACTTAAGGGTTTTAGTTTACCTTATAGTTGATACAACGCTATTAAACCTGGAATGCAAGTGTTACACGTAGGAATTGTAGTTTATCTTATAGTTTAGAAACTCAATTTTAGCGTCCAGATACTTAGAGCGGACCTACTGGAGGGGGCTATTAAACTGGCCTGCAAGTGTTATATGCAAAAATCGTAACTTACCTTGCAGTTAATACAAATTGCATTAGATGTGGATGGAAGTGTTATTTGTAACATTTGCGACTTATCTTTTGGTTCATATAGCTTTCTTAGACGTGGCGTGCAATGGTAGACGAAAAGGTTGTAACTTGTCTTTTTGCTCATATAATATTATTAGCTTACAAGTAAAGATTGTAACTGTAATTGAAACTGGACAAAGAACCCACTTTTCATTACATTCTTTTCCCCCATTAAATGTTCCTATGAGATTCTAACATTTTCTCTTGAAATATATTTGGCTCTCTATCTAGTGGTGCCCCCCAGTGACACAGCCGTATGTCTGCGGACTTACAACGCTAGAAACCGGGTTTTGATACCCGTGGTGGGCAGAGCACAGATAGCCCATGTGTAGCTTTGTGCTTAATTAAAAACAAACAAAAAAACTATCTAGTGGTATAAAGTAATTATAGGAAATTTTTGGTACCCGAAAATTATGACTTATAGTTAGTTGCTAAAGGCTACTATATCATTTGTTCGCACGTCAGTGGAAGTGAAATAGGGTTATTGTTCTACGAATGTTTATCAACTTATGTCATTCTCCTTTCTTACCTGCCCCTTAGCTAAGCTTACCAATGGAATAACCAGTATCAAAGGCGGAAGTTTGCACTCGAAGTAGTGTCTTGACGTTTTCTGAGTGACATCATAGACAAATCTTTAGCAGACGTACTTGGCCTAGAACTTACCTGTGAGAGGTCACAATTTTCGCTTGTATTAGCTTTTGGTTTCGGCCGGAGTTTCATTAGGTTAAAGGTCAGCAGTATTAGCAGTACGTCAACTACCTAGTGGCAAGTATCCAATGGCAGCACAGCCGAACATCGTGAGCACGGTTGGTTCAGGTCAAGGAAAAAAACATCTCTAACGTAATGCTCACATAACAGTAGCACTTTTTATTATTTTTTAGAATTTAGCAACCTATTTCTGAGTTTGTCGCTGACACAATACGTCCTGACGTCATCTTTACCTTTAGGCAGATTTCATTTATAAATAAGAGATGTGATGATGAACCTTCATCAGTTTGCTAAGAGCCGAAGGACTATCTAAAACAGTTTTAATTTTTACTCTACGACTTGCGATACGTAAGTAGACATTGTATTAGTTTATTATCAGCTAGTTTCGTCCCAGAGCTTCGGTTTTAACCCCACGACTTGAGATGAGTAAAGAAATATTTGGTTTAAATATATCTAGTGTTATAATATCAGTCAATATTGTCCCAATAGTGGATCGGATATAGAAATAAAAATTGAAGTCTATTCTTAGTTTCGTATAAAAATGTATCAAGATATTTTGTTGAGTTAATACACTAATGTCCAGCACCGTTTCATTCGTGTAAACAAACTGAGCTAAGTTTAAACGGCAAAGGCTCACAGAGTACTGATATAGATGTTTTTAAACACCTTACCTTCCCACAGATAAAACACTAGCGACAATTAAAATCGGTTAATATCTTAGCTCAGATTTATATTAATGAGTAAAATACTTATACAGCTGTAAGTTCAGAGCTTTATTTTAGATTTTTTGCAGAGAACTGCCTGCGTATAGCCGTTCCTAATTGTGAACTAGCGGTAAGCCAACACTATCCACTGCTAACTCTTGTGTGACCAAATAGTGAGATTAAACCGTCTCTCTTGTAGCACACCAAGGCCCCAAAGTGCGGAGAGTATTTTTGCAGCAACGGGCTGCAAACAAAAATTTTTCTGATTCACATTCAGAGCACCTTAATCCGAACTAGTCCCTCAAAACCTGGTATAACGTATTGGACAATGTGAAATACATACATAATTTTTCTCTAGTAGATTAGTGTGTTGAACTTTATTGATAAAAAGTGAAGATTTTGACTCCTCGTGTGGGCTCGTGGTGTTTAAAGCAACCTTTCATCCCTGAAAGGGATCGAACCTCCAATGTGGAGCTTATTGTTTACTGTCTTCCACGCTGTGTAAACTGATTTCACAACGACATTACATTTTTCCATCTCTCTGTTCTTGTTACTTTCTATGTATTTCGCATTGATTTAATTTTTACTTACAAACCGGCTTTTATACATTATGAACTGTTTTTAAACATAAGATGTAGACACTGTAACTTTAAGTATGCTCAATACTAGATGTAGACACTGTAACTTTAAGTATGCTCAATACTAGATGTAGACTAATTCTTTGTTTACATTTATCATGTGCATTTGAATCTGTAAATCAGATGGTATAAGAAAACATTAAACTAATCTATATAAATATAGCTACACCTGACTGAGATCATTTTTGTAGCAACCACTGTAAAAGTAAAATTAATATTTATTCGAATAACTTCAACTGATCCCGTTCCGATAATTAGCTATTAATTTGACTTTCTTTTTTTCTATCATAAGCTATATAGTAACGTAAAACCCGTCTATTTGAAAGATCAAAGGTGATTTTACAATAAATAAATAAACAAATATCACATATTATATAACACTTGAGATGGCTGATTGATCACAAAATACAGATTTTCATCTGTACATTTCCCATGAACAACGTTGAATGTAAATATATAGTCAGTTACCAGTAATTTTGATGTTTCTTACGGAAGTTCCTTACGTATCGTATAATTGTTATAAAAAGTTTCTATGACAACGGAACTGCAATTCTCTCAAATAAAGGAATTATTTTATATGTTTCTAAATCAATTAACGTTTATAAAATGAATTACTAATTAATTTATTCACAGGCATTAACTGGAACACGAGATGAGAACGTGGATTATCCTGGGTAAGTTAAAACACTACTATCTTTCAATATACTATTTGATCTGCTGCGTCAGTTCTCAATTGCAGTTTATCCTATAATTTTTTAAGTACAGAATCACACAAGGAGACTCATCAAATATGTGAAAGGTACATAAAGTAATAGCGACTCACTTTGTGTAGGACTAGCATTAAATATATATATATATCAAACAATAGTTATCAATTAACCTCATAGTGTACTTCTCGAGGTTATCTTAATGCATAATTAGTGATCTATTAAGCTCTCAGTGTATTTCTTGATGTTACTCCAATATATCGTTAGTGATTTATTAATCTCAAACTGTACTTTTCGGTGTTATTACAATACATCATCGGTGATATATTAGCTTCATAGTGCACTACTCGATGTTAAACCAATACATCACTAGTGATATATTAACCTCACAGTGTACTTCTCGATGATAAACCAGTACATCATTAGTGACTTATTAGCCTCACAGTGTACTTCTCGATGGTATTCCGATACATCATTATTGATTTATTAGCCTCACAGTTTGCTTCTCGATGTTATTCCTATAGAACATTATAGATTATCGAACTTCTAAAAGAAGTCTATTCTATAAATACCCTAGAACCAGACTATACATTTAACACAAATAAAACATAAAACTTAGAGCGAGCGACAATTGAGTGTGGATCACAGCCGATAAGGGTGACATTTTTCATAGGAAATAATAGATAATGATTTATTTTTCAGAAGAATGAACATTTAGACGAAACTCAACTTGTGAATTTATTGAAGATTATAGTTTAAAGGAATAGCAAAAATATATATCAACATATTTCATTTGAATGAGATATTGATAATACCACCTGATTAAGTTAGTAATAATTACAACTCAGTGAGATAGTAATGACTACAGCTGAGTGAAATGGTAATAATTATATCTGAATGAGATTAAGAATTACATTTGAGAGAGATAATAGTAATCGTTGTATGTTTTACAGTAGCGTGCAGTGTAGCCGCTGTGACCGCCTCACCTCGGGTAAGTTTTGTTCAAATACTGTTATGTGAATGTTGGTTTGCTAAAGAGCCATCTGTTAAAATAAGTGCCTTGAGCAACGAACATGCATTGATTTAACACATTAATATGAATTGTTTAGAAAGTGAAATATCGTTTCATTTACATAACGTTATATTTTGTTTCATGGCCATTTGAAAACTCACAGAATAATTGGTTTCCTATGCTATCTATAAAGCATTGTAAACATGGCCTTGTTATTGATTTCTTTCTATGAGTATTCGTTCCCAGTCGATCTGTTTGCAGAATAACCAACTCCTTTTCGAGCTATTGATATCACTATTAGGTGCTAATCAATCTGTTAAAACCATTACTAGTTTTTTGATGGGCGTTTTTATCTTTCCTATCGCTTAGTTTATATTTTCATATCACCACTAGCTCTTTGTCGATTTGTTAAAATCACCAGTTTCTTTTTGAGTGTTTGTATCATCCCCAACTCATTTTTCTTCTGTTTTTATAACCATTGGTTCCTCGACAATCTGTTAAAATTATCACTAGTTCTATAGTGGGATATTTAATGCAATTCCAGCTTGAGTTGTTCTGTTAGAATCATCACTTGTTTATTGTGTCTATGTGAAAAACATACACTAAAAGTATAATTTACTAGGTAACACTAATTTCTAAACAATTTTATGCTATAATAGTGATCTTACAAATATTTACTATTTGCTTAGTTTTCTTAAACGATTGGAGTGAGGTTACAGGACGCCTAACTCCTATGTCGACTAAGCTGTTCCAAGAGGTCCATCAGTAAATCTCTCTGCATGAGAGATGACTGACATATGATCCTCTCGGATACAATAAAACCTGTAAGGCAAGTATTTAGATATTTAGTACATAGAGAAACTAAGCAGCCTTTTAAAATTATTTTTTAAAGTCTGGGAATTTCCTCCTCGGAGAAAATTTTTCTTGGCGAGGTGTTTGTAGCTTCGCCATTTTCGTTGACTTGAGTTTCATTTGTAATAATAATTTGATAAGTAAACCCGCTTGTCAGACTAGGATTTTGATCAAGTAAGAACACTTTAAAATATCCTAATTTGTAATAATAATTTGATAAGTAAACCCGCTTGTCAGACTAGGATTTTGATCAAGTAAGAACACTTTAAAATATTCTAATTTGTAATAATAATTTGATAAATAAACCCGCTTGTTAGACTAGGATTTTGATCAGGTAAGAACACTTTAAAATATCCTAATTTTTCCTGAGCTTTCTTTAAAACCTTAAAATTGCGGAAATTAATCACTGTACATCACAACTTACATCACCAATTATTTATATGCGATACACAATGCTGGATGTGTTCTCAAATTTTGATGGTGTGTTTTTTTTTGTTTTTGTTTTACAAAATATTTATTTGTAATTAAGCACAAAGCTACACAATGGGCTATCTGTGCTCCGCCCACCACGGGTATCGAAACCCGGATTCTAGTGTTGTAAGTCCGCAGACATACCCCTGTGCCACTGGGGGGCTTTTTACAAAATAGAGAGAGACATATAACAATTAACCCTACATATTCAATTCTACAATATGAACGGGTAAATTCATAAACATCTAATATATTCTTAACTTTCAACACCATCTTTAAGTTGAAGCAAGTGTTTGGTGTTAATAACTCGTTTGACTTTACATAATAATTGTAACTGAGGATAACACAAACATACATCTAATTTCACAAATTTGACTTCAACTATAACCGCGTCCTCTAGTACACGGCAAATAACTTTTTTATTTTATAACATCAGTTTTTGGAATAAGAATGGTGATACTTTTATAAAGTATTGAATGTATTTGTCAGTAATTAACTTGGGAAATTAGTGTCTGCTTAAAAATTCTTTGATTTTCTTTGGCTCTTTATGAAAAATTCCAATGTACTTTCCTATAAATATTATAAACAAACATGTCTAAAAAATGTAACTTTGTTTCCAATTCTTGTTTCACTGTGAATTTAATATTCACATTTTAGTATTGATGAAACAAGGAAACATGACTTTCTTATTTGAAAATGGCAAAGGTATCATTAACATAACTATCGCTGCTTAAAAGTGACATTTAGTGATCGTTTTTTCTTTCTGATAAAAACAAAGAACAAGTTAGCAATTTCCACTGCTAATTTCGAATCTATACGGACCCCTTCAATTTGGTCCTAGATTTCAAAATTAAAACTAAAATCGGATTCTATTTTTGCAGCTCAGTCGCTCTTTGTTACAACTAGGGTCTTGATAAACTTGTTATTATCTTCTAAGATATTATAGATTTTTTAATAATAATGTTTTATATTAAGAATGACAGTACCGTTACCTTTATCTAGTTTTAACAAGGACAAGACATCTGTTACTCCTTATAATTATCTACTACCCCTTGTTGCTCTATTTGTAGAACCACTAGCCCCTTGTTGAAATGTATGTAGTACCACTAATTCCCTTGTTGAATTGTATGTAGTACCACTAGTTACCTTGTTGAATTGTATGTAGTACCACTAGTTCCTTTGTTGAACTGTTTGTAGAACCACTAGTTTCTTTGTTGAACTGTTTGTAGTACCACTTATCCCTTGTTGGCCCGTCTATAGCACTACTAGCCCCTTGTTGAATTGTATGTAGTACCACTAATTCCCTTGTTAAATTGTATGTAGTACCACTAGTTCCCTTGTTGAATTGTATGTAGTACCACTAATTCCCTTGTTAAATTGTATGTAGTACCACTAGTTCCCTTGTTGAATTGTATGTAGTA